CATATGACCTGCTTACCTGCCCTAGACACCTTACAGGGATTCTTAGTTTCATCTGGTTGTTTAATCCTTTTTTCTTGGGTCTTCCTGCAGGTTTTCTAGGAATTGGGGGCTCAATATATGGAGTATCTGTCCTCTCCCACTCATCTTTACTTGGTAGAGGATGGATTATGTGTTTATACACAGCCAAATAGGTGGATTTAGCATAAAAAGCACTCACATAGTCTTCAGGTTTCTCTCTATTGGCATATATAACTGACACTCCATGCTTACAAGGGATCCCATTCAAATCCCACCTTCGACATGTACAAGTCTTGTCTCTAAGATTAACCACATGACTAGTGTCATAGAAATCAAACTCAAACAGCTTGTCCCCAGCAGGAGTAGAAAAACAACTCCTACTTTCAAATTTGAATTTTTCTAGTAGATCTTGCTTATTAGGACAAATATCACCCTTATACTTAGTCATGGCAGTGTACTTAACATGAAATCTAGCCATCAACCTTCTTCTAATCCACTCAAACATGCTCAAAATAGGCATATCTCTAGCTCTAAGTATGTATGCATTGAATGACTCACAAATGTTATTCTGCAAAACATCAGACTGTGCTTGGGTTGAAAAATGAGATCTGCTCCAAGTACTTGGGTCATACTGCATAATCCAGTTGTAAGCACCCTCATCAAACTTCTTTATTCCTTCCATCTGCCTCTCCCATGACCTCAGACTTCCAGTGCTAGCTGCAAACCAGAGCTTCTTTTTGTACTCAGCCCCTCTAAAGATTTTCTTGTAGTTCTCATACATGTGTTTGACACAGTATCTGTGTTCATTTGCAAGTGACACGACCTTGAATGCCTCAACTAAACCCTGAAAGAAGCTAGCAATTAAACACAGTATACAGAAAGAAGTTATTCACATGTTTTACAGAAGAAATGAATACTTTTTTATTACCTTTTGTTTGTCAGACATGAAAACCCATTTAGTTTCCTCTGGTCTGCCAAAGTCTTCAAACAATACTTGCAAGAACCAAGTCCGTGAAGCTTTATCTTCACTATCCACATATGCTATAGCCTAGGTAGTTTACTCACTACTCGGTAGTAACTCGGTCAAGGGCCGAGTAGTGAGTAGGACCGATTACTCGGGATTACTCGGTCGTGTATTAATTAAATTTGATAATATATTTGCTAGATATTTAGAAATATAATAGTCTTAAAATAGTCTTAAAATTGTTTTAAAAAGCATAGAAATGAATAAAAAGATACAAATCCTATTATCCTAATGATGGAGTAGCAAAAGTCATAAATATTCTAAGTTTTCAAAATTTAAATTTTATAAGTGATCAAAATTTAATGTCTATTGTTGAAATTGAATTTATAGGGAGTACGAGGGCATTAGTCTAACATAAAGCAGGATGTCTACTAGACTACTTATATTATTCAGAAGTATTTATCACTATAGTCCAAGAAGTCATCATTGAATACTATAAAGCAGGATGTCTACTAGACTACTATCCAAGAATGAAAGCTTACTGAATACAAGAACCAAAACTAACCAAGAAGGCAAGAACATAGACGACTAAGGGAGGGGGGAAGAAGAAGAACCCAGAGGTGAAGAGGTGAAGATACGAGAGAAACAAGAGTTACCAACCGACGTCGCAGTCTCAACTTAAAGGGATAGCGGATGTCGCGCAACTCCAAGAGAGCCGATGTTGCTGTTAGAGACTTGGAACTCCGTTAAATTTAGGTTTTAATTTAGGATTTCTAACCGTGCTACCGAAGGTAGGGATAATCGTCCAGGTCTCAATGCGAAAGGATAACCGTGCCCTTACAGCATGCTGGCCGATTATAAGTCCATAGGCCTTCGTAGTCCCTTCATTGGAGTGAAGGTCGAGCATATAGGTCCTTAATAAATAAGTGTCTCCCCATCCTGACCCTTTTTTATGGGGCTTGCGGGCGGAAGTGTCCCTACTGTGAACTATATATATATCATATATATCCATCCGTGCCCCACTCCTGTATTTGAATGGTCTTGGTCTTGTCCTCCCTGGACTCCATGAATGTGCTACCTATTTGAATGTGCTTCAATTTAAAAAAACGAGTAATGCCGAGTACTCGCCGATTTCCGATGTTGACCGAGTAGCAAAACTCGCCGAGTAACTCGGAAAATTAACTCGGACCGAGTTAAGTTGCTAATCGGCAAGGTAAGGACCCGAGTTGCGAGTCCTCACCGAGTACTCGCCGAGTACTCACCGAGTAGATAACCTAGGCTATAGCAAGAGGAAACATGTTTTCATTTCCATCCTTTGCTACAGTACATAGTAGTTGCCCTCCCATAGGTGTTTTCAAATGGCAGCCATCTAACCGAATTAAGGGTCTAAGACCTGCAAAATACCCCTGCTTCTGTGCACTAAATCTCATGTACATGTACTGAAGCATCAGAATTTCCTTGGGCATTCTTGGACCACCCTCTGCATTAGCACCTTCTACAATCTCATCCCTGGCTTCAGTTTTTATTTTGACTACACTCCCAGGATTGAATTTAACTACAGTCTCTGCATAATCTCTCAACCTCCTATATTGTTCTTTTATGCCCCCTTGAATATTTGCTTTTACCTTTCTTCTAGCTCTATAACACTTTGCCTTACCTCAGCCCTTAATTGTCTTTGCACTGACTTTTGCATAGCACTGACATCCCATTCAGGATTTTCCCTCAATTCATCCATGTACTTTTTAGCTAAATATGTACCATTGACCAAGCTGTTTCTATTACTGAAAGGGCATTCATGTTTTGGCCTAAATGTCTTAATCTGAAAGGACCCACACTCAGGAAGTTTAGAAGCATGAACTCTGAAAGAACATATGTCCTTATTTTTGCATACCATAGTGATTTTAGATCTATTGTTCTTCACAAATTTAAATTCAAATCCACCCTTGACAGCCCAATCCTTAAGAGCATTTCTAAAGGAGGTATGTGTACTAAATTTCAAACCTTAGGACAATTATGAATGTGTAGCACCTGTTTCTTCATTGAACTCTTCATATTTGGCATCACCTTCATCAGATCCTACAATGTTGTGCAGGTCATCACTATAGCGGGGCCTCTCATTAAACTCCTCAAACTGTTTTCATTCAGATCCTCAAGCCCAAAAGTGTTGGGTTGTGAAGGTGGTTCAGGATCTCCTTGTGGTTGTTGGTTTAATGTTGCACTTTCATGATTAAAGACATCATCTTCACTCCCTTCTAGTTCTTGTTGGCATATCCAGCTAGCTTCAATGAGATTGGAATTGGAATGCTCCCCTGAAGCACTTTCAGAACCACTTTGAATCACATAGTCCTCATCTTCCTCATCACTCTCTAATTCTATTTCCACAAATGTAGTTGATACACCCACGAATTGATGTGCATCTAGAGGTTGTGATACTGCAGGTTGGTCTTTACTTGGTGTTGTAGTTGGGACATAACTTTGGGCTTCCTGTGAAGATTGGGTTGTATCTTGTGGTAAAGTTTCCACCACCCGTTTCTTACTAGTGTTTGCAACAAAGTACAAGTCAACATGTGAGTCCATGATGTTACACACTAGCATGTCTTGGACATCTTTATCACATACCATCTCTTGCAAATTTACTGGCCCACACAACTCCCTTATTGAGAATCTTCTAAACCACATTTGGATCCCATTTGTATAACCCAAATCTTTTGCATACCCATCTAATTCAAACTTGCTCACATAGTCAATGTCAACTTTTTCTTTAAACAAAACCTGCCTCCCCACATACTTTTTCTTTTGTCTTGGACAGTCCCACTTTCCACCAGGGTGAATTTTCAAATTGATGTAATCACTCATTCCCAACCTGCAAATACATTGAATGCAGACAACCTAAACATCCCAAACCATAAAAACATGACAACTTAAAGTGCTACTCTGCAAAACTACCAACCGGGTTTCAAAACGAACCCATTTACACATTAATACACCAACCAACCAGGTTTCAAAACACCATTGACGGTTTAACCTAAAAATCTAAGCCAAACTTCAAAATAAAGAATAGTTGGAGTACTTACTTTGACCTCAGGACGTTAACACGAAAGTAACTAAACTTCCATACCCCAGTCCGTGCGTTCTTGTCCTTTGTCTGCTACGACCCACATTTATTCTTCTTTCCAAACGCAGGTGAAGAACCGATGTCAAGAAGAACTTCCTATCGCGCCTAAATCGTATTTTGTTAAGCCCTAATTTGACTTAAGCTTTTGGTTTTTTAATAATTCAAATATTTGCTCTCCATTGGCCACGCTGGAGCCTATTTGGAAAAAATATATGCCATGTCGCACTTTACTAACGGCCAGTTCCAATAGACCCCGCGGGTGGTAATGGTAGCAAAACACGAGGCTGCGTTTGTTACAAAGATCATCACAGACCCCTAAGTGAAAACGCACACAAGCACAAGTATTTAATCCGTACTTTTCCCTATTATATTAGAGTTATGTTGTACTCCCCCTGTTATCTAATAGATGAGAGTATAGCCTTTGGCACAAGATTTAAGAAGAAATTAATAGGGATAAGATAAAAGATGTAGTGAGTTGTATGTAAAGGAAAAAATAGGAAAGAGAGTGAAAAAGTAGGAAAGAGAATGAGCTTATATAGGTATATTTATTGAAAAAACTTTCTAAAAATGGAAAGAAAGACATGTATTAGAGAACATCCCAAAATGAAAAGAAAGACATGTATTAGAGAACAGAGGGAGTATAAGTTTGGTGCTTACTTTTTACATTTAAACTAGTACAGTACCCGTGCATACGCACGGGAAATAATCGATGAATATATTTGCAATCATGATCTAATCAATTAGAAAAGAAAATAATTTGGAAAAATTGCATTTCTTCTTAAAAGTAAGTACAACATCTCAATATCATAAAGTGTAAGTTAATAAAATAATTAGTAAATAAAATATTAAACATACGTGTTAGAGATTTTGGAAAACCTCTTTGAATACAACATTCGTAGTAGTGTCTAATGATTTACCATCCTTATCATGTATTAAAATCTTCAATCCATGTTTGCTCTGAACTCTTGACAATGCCACATACAATTGTCCATGACTAAAAACAGGTCTAGGCAAGTATAATCCAACTCTTTCCAGTGACTGTCCTTGAGATTTATTGATTGTCATCGCATATGAGACCATTATAGGAAATTGTCTTCTGATAAGTTTAAAAGGCCATGGTGATTGAGAAGGAGACATACACATTCGAGGTATGTAAATCTCATCTCCACCATTGCCTTCAGACATGATTCTTGCTCCAATGACATGATTACCCAGTCTTGTGACAATCAATCTAGTTCCATTGCATAGTCCTTCTGATTGGTCTATATTTCTTAGCAACATTACTGGAGTCCCAACCTTAAGTCGTATGTTGTAATTTGGGAGACCTGATGTTCTTAAGGAATTGAGAAACTCTGGTGTCAACGCTTCAAATGCTTCTGCTTCAACTACATCCGACTTGTCTACAGAATCGCAACTTAAATATTCTCTTTCTTCACCTGTAGTTGTAAAAGTCTATAGTCTTAATTTAATTATTAATTTTTTTTAAGAATTTATTTTGTAAGTAAATAAGGAAAGTAGCATTTTTATAATATTACCTGGGAGCGTTGAAAGAACATAGTCATTAATTTTATCGACAATTTCAATAGTTGATGCCAAGACAGCTCTAGACTTGAGAAATTCCTCATTTTTGTATTGCTCCAGCAAGTTCGGATACGTGTTACGGACTATTGCATCTATTGGATCATCAAATTCTTTAATCAAAAACTCATCTGGAATCTTTATTTCTGCATAACCATCATTTGGCTCTGATATTTTTCCATCTCCCACATCCAATATCCATTTTGAAAATTCTTTGAGCTCAGTAGCACTTGTCATATCCAAATTATTTTGGAGTCGCATATTTTTAGTAAGAGACAATACCTATCAATAAAAAAAAATACTTATATTTGAGTATAACTTATAAAGTAATTACTAAAAAAACTTACAAACTGATTATTTGAAATAGTTAAACAATTAATATAATTACTTGTACTTTATTTAAAGTAAAAGTGAACGAATGAACAATTTTTTTAAAGTTTTTTAGGTTAGTTATTTTGGTATATTGTGGTAAAATGAATTTGTAAATTATAGTAACAGTAAACATATTGGTTGTGGTACTAAAATGGAGTTATTACCTGACAGTCATCCCATAGATATGAAGAATTGATTGTAGCATTAACAATGTCTGAACGGCTTCCTCCAGGAATAACTGGTAAAGTTTGTCTGAAGTCTCCTCCAAAGACAACCACTCTTCCTCCGAATGGTGAAATAGAATCATCATCATTGTTGATGATGTCATTTAGGCTTCTGTCTAGTGCTTCAAAACAAAATCTATTAGCCATTGTTGCTTCATCCCAAATTATCAACTTAGTCTGTTTTAAAAGCTCTGCAAGTTCACTCCCTTGATGTATATTGCATGTAGAGTTCTCTAGAGTAGGAACTGGGATTGAAAATTTAGAGTGTGCAGTTCTACCGCCAGGTAAGAGTAGAGAAGCAATACCACTGGATGCGACAGTTAAAACAATATGACGCTGAGAACATCCCAAAATGAAAAGAAAGACATGTATTAGAGAACAGAGGGAGTATAAGTTTGGTGCTTACTTTTTACATTTAAAAGCTTACCCTTTTTACATTTCTTTTCATTTTGAAAAGAAAATGATAATGCTCTTAACTGAGAAATATCGGTAATGTGTCCGTCCTATCAAATTTTGTCATGAAGGGCTCAATTTCGACACAAACGGTGGGTGAAGCAGCTTTCAATTCAATTATTTACAACCTCTTTGCTCTTCTCACCGGTCATTAATGGCCGATGGGCGTCACTGTGATATTTCGGACACAAACACCACCCTCTTCTCGTATCTTTCTCCATTCCGACCCCTCTTCTTCTTCTTCTTCGTCATCCTCACTTTCGTGTTTCCTGGACTTTCTTATTCCCACTCTAAACCTCAGCTGCCATGCCGCCCGCCGCTCCACGATTTCTGCAACACTTCGCTCCCCGTTGCCACCAGAGTCCATTCCCTCGTCTCACTCCTCACCCTAGATGAGAAAATCCAGCGCCTCTCCAACAACAACTCCGCCATCCCCCGCCTCGGGATCCCCGCCTACGAGTGGTGGTCCGAGTCCCTCCACGGCCTCGCCACCAATGGCCCCGGGGTAACCTTCCAAGGCCCCGTCAAATCTGCTACCGTGTTCCCACAGGTCATCCTCACAGCTTCTAGCTTCAACCGCACCCTGTGGCGCTCCATCGCCGCCGCCACAGCCGTTGAGGCCCGGGCTATGTACAATTCGGGTCAAGCCGGGCTGACTTTCTGGGCTCCCAATGTGAACGTCTTCGTGGATCCGAGATGGGGCAGAGGACAAGAGACGCCCGGAGAAGATCCAATGGTGGTTTCGGATTATGCAGTGGAATATGTTATTGGGTTACAAGGCCACAGCTCCGTGGCTAAAAATGGTGAACGGCATTTGCTTGGTGGGAGTAGGACGACTCAGGAAGAAGTAGACGAGGGTGATGGCAGATTGATGTTGTCAGCATGCTGTAAGCATTTAACGGCTTATGATCTGGAGAAATGGCACGATTTTACCAGATATAACTTCAATGCTGTGGTAAGTTACTCTTTTTATTAACAAACAAACAAACAAAAGAGTTATACTCTCTCCCTCCTAAGTCCTAACTTTGCCAAGTAACATGCCATACCCTTGTTCATTCCATCTTATTTTTTGCTTGATTATTTTTACGTAGAAAAAGAAGGATTAATTGTGTTATCGTCTGCTAGGTTATCACACTCCTTCCAAAACAAGTTTTTGTTCCATAAAAAGATTTGACGTGAAATAAGGATGTACTTCGGAAGTTGGAAAGTTAAAGCAATAGTTTATTTTGCATAAATATGTTTAGGTAAACCTAAGTTTTTTTCTTCCAACTATTTCATCTTCCCCTCCAGTTATTTTCACTTTTAATAATTTTACGGAAAAATTGAAAATAACAATCCCAGCTATTGCTGGTCTGCTAACAATAATCCAAACTATTGATTATTTTTGTATAATCCCAACTATATGAAACGTCCGCCAATAATGCTCCATGACCGAATATTACCAGCTATAACAGATGATTTTTAATAGAAATTAAGCGTAAAAATTAAAAGTTGGGATTATTTATAGGGATTACCGGCTATATCTCTTAGCATCCAATTTAGAAACTATAGGAATTTATATATAGTCAGTCACGTCGGACCATTATTGGCGGAAGGTCTCTAAAGTTGAGATTATTCTGAAATAATCGAAAGTTGAGATTATTATGAGCGGACCGCCAATAATTGGGATTATTACTATCAATATTTCCTAATTTTACTCTAAGATGGTGTTTGGTAGGGCGTTAAATAATTACTTTGCTTGCAAAAGTTTACATCAGTTGGTTTAATTATTTAATGTAAATTATAGGACTCCTTTTTTGCCCCAAATCTTTTTGGGAATAAGGCTTGGATGGTGTTGTATAGTACACTTTTTTAGACATTTCACATTGTACCATATAAAGTATTTTATATGGGGGTGGTAAAATATTTTGCATGTTTTTTTTATAAAGTATTGCAATGACTAATTTCAAAGCAAATTACACACCTAAGCAAATAGTGTATTTTTATTTTACTTACAAAGTAATTGCTTCCCTAAACTTTACATGTAATTATATTGCGTGCAAAGTTTTGATGTTAAACTACCAAGCGAGCCCTAAAGAATCGTGAAAAACATGTCGAGCTGGTAAAAGTAACATGTTATTTATTCATCTTCAGATTTGGTCTCCATTATGGTCTAGGATTACAGATAACAGAGATAAGTAAATAGGCTTGCTTGCTTTAACAAGGACTAGAACAAAATCTGAGCAAAAGCTTTTCCTTTAAGGAAAAATTCACATGAATAATCCCAATTATTAATGGTCTTCCAATATTAATCTCACCTATTCATAATTCTAGAATAAGCTTATGTTCAATGGTGGTCTTCTGTAATTATCTCCGTTTACCATCTACCTACTTAACCGATAAAAAACAAAAACAAATAAAAAACAAAAAAAGATGAATAGCCGGTAAGGGGCTTTCTCTGCCGGCGGAGGGATTAAGCTCCAAGCACATGGAACCGAGCTATTGAGCTAGTGAGAAGGTTTATACAATTTGATTAATGCCCAACTCTCCCGTTTGTCCAGAGCCTTCCTTCTTCAATTTTCTCTTCACCGGAGCCATGGTGGAGACAATGATAACAGGGTTGGACGGAACTCCAAGGCGGCGTAGATGTGATAGAGTTCATCCGTCGCCATCTTCTTGATTTCTCCTGTTGGCCAGAAAACGGTTGGTCGGCCAAGGAAGGATGAAGAGGAAAACAAAAACAGGATGGGTATAGTAGGACGGATCTTGAAGACATATCAGACAAGGATGAAATTCTTCATCGTTTCTTCTCGTTGCCGGACACCTTCTGAATTTTCTAGTCGGCAACCCTCTAGAGTGGACCGTGGAGACCTGAAGAAGAAAAGCACGGGGAAAAAGGAAATAAAATAAAATAAAAAGGAAAAATAAACATATAACAATCAATATAAAGATGACATGTCACATGTGGCTCAAGACACTTACTGGAAATGATATGTCAAGTCGGGTAACTGTTAGATAATTCAGTTTCCCGACTAGTCTCCTGTAACGCTTTGGATCCTTCATAGGACTTCCATCCTTTTCAAGAAGTTTCCCTGTTGTAAGCATTGGGCTGTCCACTGGTTTGCACCCTAGTAAGCCACATTCAGTCAACATATCAAGGACATACTTTCGTTGAGATAAAAGAATTCCCCGTGGAGACTGGGAGACTTCTATCCCAAGAAAGTAACGAAGACGTCCCAAGTCTGTGACCTGAAACTGTGATTGTAGAAACTCTTTCAATTCTGAAATTCCCCTGCTATCGTTTCCAGTGATGATAATATCATCCACATAAACTACAAGAATGAGTCGTTGACCCATATGATGTCTAAAGAACACATAATGATCCTGAGAGCTTCTGGTCATGCCAAACGGTTGAAGGACATCTGAAAAACGTCCAAACCATGCTCTAGGAGATTGTTTGAGTCCGTATAAAGAACGTCTCAGTCGACATACTTTAGATGCCTCCTCCTTAGCTATAAATCCACGGGGCTGCTCCATATATACCTCCTCCTCAAGAAAGGCATTCTTGATATCCAACTGATAAAGCGGTCAATGATTGATTGCAGCTAGAGCAATACAAATATGAACAGATGGCATCTTGGCTACTGGGGAAAAAGTTTCGTCATAGTCAATCCCATATGTTTGAGAGTAACCCTTGGCGACTAATCGGACTTTCAATCGATGCAGTGAGCCGTCAGGATGAAGTTTAACTGTATAAACCCATTTACAACCAACTGTGCGCTTTCCGGGAGAAAGTTGAACTAAATCCCATGTCTGATTTTTCTGTAGGGCATCCATCTCTTCCTGCATTGCTTTAAACCATCCAGGATGATTCAAGGCCCCTGGGAACAGGGTGATTATCAATGGCTGTTTTGTAAGCATATGCTTCAGGTGAAAGATGAGAGTAGGAAAGGTAATTT